CTTTAACCCTTCTCACAGCCTAGAAGTATCAGCCTAGAAAACAGCATTCACTCCCTGATTTTGTGCTTTATTTTAGCCCTTCTAAAAGCCCTTCAGCCCTTTTCACAGCAAAGCTGTGACCACAGTAAGGATGAAGTCATCTTCTGCAATTTTAACCACTGGGTGGTTCCATGGACAGAGAAGAATACAACCAGGAGAGCAATTTCTCCACCAATACTGACTATTTGCAAACATCAGTGATGGAAAAGGAGCAGGGCTGTGGGAGGCAGCCTGGGCAGCACAGGTTTCAGAAGGAAGCAGGAATGCCCAGGTGATGGCCAGGAATCAGAGCCAATGCTGTGCTCAGAATCAACTTGAGGCACTGACTGACTTCATGCTGCATTCCCAGGTCCCAGTGAGGTGCCTTGACAGCAATTCTCCTGTTTTATTGATACCAGAAAGGCTGCCAGGGAGCTTTTCATGGTCCAAATGTCAGGGAAGTGGCACAGAGGATGATCACACACGTTACAGACAGACTACAACAGCTGCCCTTATGAGGGGCCAACTGATACCCTATGGTTTGAAATCAGCACAGCCACAGACAACTGCTCCTGAGCCCCATCCCAAACCACACAGAAAGAACGTGGAAACTTCACCAGGATTGCCAGGGTGCTCCAGGGATGAGCATGAAGGTACTTCTTTGGCTGATGTAACAGTTCACCTTTGAACTTCAAAATCACATTTGCACCTAGCACAAGAGGCCACAACTTTCCCCAGTCCAAGACTCAGTATTTGGTCATCAAACACAAAACATCTCTGCAAGAATTCCTGCAGTCTGCTGTCTGAGCCATGTGATCTCCCTTCTCTTCCATTTCACAGACTACATTAACCACAAACATTTCATGTCATACATTTTTATTAACCTGGAATGCCAGCAAATGACTGCAAAACCATCTTTCTCTCTTTTTTTTTTTTGATTCAACAACAAAAACCAGCTCCAATTTGGGAAGGTCTGTCAGCATCACTGCACCAATCACTTTGGTGATGCCACAGTGAAAGGGTTCAGCTCTTGCTGTGCTAATCCCAGCTGTGCTCTGGAGCACCATTGCACAGCTCTGCCCACCCAAACAAGCCAGAGCAATGCAAGAAAAGGTGATAAAACACAGGGAGATGGGGTGAGGGCTTCTCCTTTGCCATCACAAGGCTACTGAGCTCTTCCCAGAAGTACATCAGGATGGTGTTCCCAAATTTGGGCTGCCAGCCTGAAACATGCTCTCTTCCCTACTTTGTTTCTCCATTGTGACAGAATTCTCCTGGTACCAGGAAAATGGGAATATCCACCCAGCACACAGTTAACCACCTGCCCACCCAGCAGCTTCTGTACTGGCCAATGTTACAGGAATCTGTGTTACATAAATGAAAATACAATGGGTACCTGGCTCTGCCATCACACCCCAACCTCTCTGTTAATATCATAACAACACAAAATCATCCTGAGGTTTTTCTGATTTGTGTTCCCAAGGGATGGTAAGAAGTAATCTCCCCGTTGTTATTTTGAAAAGAAAGCTTTTATGCATATTTGAGTTGATCTAAACACAGTAGATCTCGGGTTTTTAAACCACCAGATAATACGCAATTATCTCAAGCTAGATTCTGATTTTGAAACAAGCTCTAATTAGCTCCCCATTTTATGCTGCTATAATCCTTTCTTCAACTCCCATGAGTGTTACTATTGCTAAGCAGCATGAGGTTAGGAATGATGGATGATACCCAGAAAGGAAGACAAACAAAAGGGAAATTCAAAATCCCCTGAGATCACCCGCAGCTGTATCGGCAAATGAAGATTTCCACATTAGGTCATAAGACGACCCTTACAGAAACACACACCAAAAAGGCACGGCTTCCTCCCACTGAGTATTTGCAAGCCTTTAATGTAGTATAGGCAGAGTAGATGTCCTTCACAGAGGATAAAGAAAAAAAGTGAATGTAAAAATTCAGCTTTCCTGAGAGCAGCCACGGACGGAATCAACGGCACCAAAAAGGAAACTCTGTCTCAATCTCCTATAGACACGCAGCACAAACCCCCAAAATAAAACCAACTAATAAAAGCTGTGCACAGTACAAGTATTTAGAGAAATATCTGAGCCTTCTCCTGGCACATGGCAACTGTTCAAACCCACCCCGGCTCCCATCAGCAGTAATGCAACTAAATAAGGGCCAAATTCATCAGGAAAAAATGCTGATGCAGTTGGGTGACACTAATTCAACTTTTTTTTCCATGTGATTTGGTCCATGCTTTTGACACATAAATCATTAAAAAGGCAGATTTACCCAAGGGCATTAGAGCATTTAGGTGGAAAGAAATACACAGAAAAAATGTTAGAAAAGGCACAGCAATACTATTTTTGACCACCTAGGGTACAAACACCATTTTTGTGTAAAACATGTTCCCTGAAACTTGCACAAAATCACCAAGCCTTGAGGGAAGCTCATAGGGAGAAGATACAGGTATATACCTGGCAGTCATTTTGGTATGGGCTGTTTTTTATAAAATCCATTATTACAGCTTCCAAAGAAAACCAAGCTTGGCTTCCCTTTGCAATCTCAACATACATATAAATATATAAGATATATATATATGTTTATCCATTCATTATATGAAACACTGATGGGCCCATCTGTCTACACGTGAAAATAGAAAATTACTGCACAAAAGGTGAGATTTTCATGAATGAGGTGTTAACCAAAACTTCATGATCTAGAAGTGTAACTAACTGGGCCAGAAATCCAGAAAATCTTGCTAGTTTGATAGAATAGAGCCAAACAGTAATGAAAATATCCCAGCTAATGAAAGTTTGAGTCGTTACTATGCATGTTGACACTCTGTACACTGAAGACCTTCTTGGCAAAGCACTCAGGAGCCACTGAGTGTATTAGTTTAATTTCACTTCTTTCCCTTCATGCATTCAACAAGTTCCCAGCCAATTATATTACAGGGAATAGGCTCCAGACCTTTCCTCGTTTCAAAATTGTTCTGATTAATTTCTGTTTTAAAATTACAAGTATGCAACCTTCTCTGCCTTGATTTTCCTGGGAAACGTCTCAGAAGACCAGAAAATTGGAGCTTTCTCTCTCTCTTTTTTTTTCCTCCCTGCCCTGGAGTGATGGATCTTTCACAAATGCATAATTATTATTACCTTTTCCAAACTGTTTGCTGCATTTTTAATTACAGAACAGCTGCTAATAAAAGGAAATTACCAAACTGCCCTTCCTCATTCAAATAACTTGGTTTTTTGCTCTTTTGTTCTGCCTGGTGTCACAACCTCCCTTATTCCTTCACACAGAGAAAGGCACCAAGAAAAGAACATTTTGTACAACAATTCTATTTTTAATCCTCCGAGAGGAGGTAGAAAAGGGCACGAGCCCATTTTCTCATTTGTAAGTCGGCTTTAAGGAATGAAGGAGGACAATCATCAATAACATGATTTTATTAGCTGATAGGAACGTGTCACCTCACAAAATATTAGCTCAAGGGCAGGAACTGACAAATGACACTGGGAGTGTGGGAGGGAACAAAATATCCCAGCAGCAAAACTGAACTTCCTGAAGGAAATCACTTTCAGCTCCCAGCGATCCCCCCGGGAATCCAGAGGGTGGCTGGATTTTAATACTATGGGCTTGTCTTTCCATCTTTTATAATTAGAGCTAGTCATAAATATGAAGATTAGCAATAACAATGCAGCATTTCCCAGCTCCTCTGATTTCAAATTCCCCCTAAAATGGCTACAATTAATTACTCATATTTTCCACGCCGTCTCAGGCATTTGTGACTGTGACACTCTTGCACGGCATTGATGCCACAAAAAAAGTACTCAATGGCATGTTTTTAATGAACCATCACAGGAAATTTCCATGTTCCCTAAATGCTTGGCTATAAGTAACAATAGCCCTATGATTGCAAATAATTTTCTCCCATTTTGGTTTTGTTTTCATGGCTTGTTTTTACTGGGGGCATTTTTTTTTCCCTTTCTTTTATGTATTTATTTTCAACTGTTCTCCTTAAGAAAAACGTGGACTGAATATCATCACGAATTTTCTTCTAGTAAAATCTTTTAGAATGCTAAATAGTTTCCCCAGTAGAGAGAAAAAAAAACCACTTTAGCTGGGATATTTAGAGTAAAGCCAGCAAGCTGCAGAAAAAAAAGAGTATTTCAGAATAGCAGAAAGGTGGAAGAAGAGCACAACCCTTCCCTGTCTGTGCCCTGAAATGCAGCAGTTCTCCAGCACAGGGCACTGGCTGTAAGCACAGAGCAGGGCACGGGTATTTTTCTCGAGTGTTTTACGTCAGTGCAGCGTTTCATTGGTAAGAGGCTGTGTGGGTAGAGTTTGGTATCCAACAGCAGGAACACAGCTGTTCTCTCCTGTCCCAGCCTCCCTCCTGTCCTGTGACCATCTCTAAAGCCTTCAGCCACTCACTTCCCTGACACTCAGCTTTGCTGCATCTGCTTTTTAATTTATTTTTAGTTTTTGAAAATGGAAAAGAGAAAAAAATAAGGTCAGCTGGGAATATTTAACGAAGCTCGAAACAGACGTAACGTGGTCTGTTCCCCACCTTTGGATTAACAAAGCAGATTTTGTGCAAAGGAGAGTGGAAAAAAACCTACCAGCAAGTGAGGCAGCTGCAGTATGTGGATCACATTACAAACCAAGGGCTTGTTTTACAGCCATTGTCACATGTCACATTGATAAGCTGAACTATGGCAAAAAAAAAAACCCTACAGAGCCAATGATCTCTAAGATCAGACAGAGTCTCTTTACCTAATATATGCAGCTAAATATGTGTGCTCCCTACATCTGCCATAGCAACAAGGAGAGAAGGAGGAATTAACTGCATTAATAAAAAAAACTGAAGGGACTCCTGTATGATACAACAAAATGTGAGAAACCTCTCAGCATCAAAGCAAACGCAACAAAAGCACAGAGAATTATTTCAGAGCAAATCATTGAAACCAGCTGATTACCTGAGCTTGCACATCCCTGCTGTAGGGAATCCTGTAATGATGTCACAGAGTGAAGGACTAGATAAGAGAGGAGAGGAAAATCAGGGAACAATAAAAGGAGATGCCAAACCACAAACTAAACAGTAAGCAGGCTCAACAAATAGCAAAGTGCTGATCTCGGCAAGGGCTCGCTGCTCAGTTAACTGATGGCACAGAGAGGTGCAGCCAGGCCAGGCTCCAGCCTGGCTTTTCTGGGTCAATAGGTACTAGGGGAACAGACAGCCACAATAAAAGTGTCATTGCAACCCAGCATTCCCCCTTTAAAGCTCAGTTTTCCAGCTCACCTCCTGAGACAGCAATCGATATTCTCCCTGGAACAATCCAAATCCCCTGTGCAACCCTAGGAAACAGCGCACAACATTTTCCAGCTCTTTGGCCAAAATTTTTGGGATTGTGTGTCATATTCATGCCTAGATAATATCACCCTAACGAGGAACTTGATAACTGCTGCTTATCAATTACACATAAACGTTCATAAACATTCCCAGCACGTCCCCTTAGGGACTGGCTGGGCTGCCAGGGTGGGATGGTGCCACTTCCATAACGCCTGGACCAGCACTGCTGCAAGGCTGGCTTACTGCAAATTTAAAAAAAAAGTAAAAAAATACAGAAAATAGAAAAAGAAAAAAAAAAAAATCTCCTCCTCCTCAACTCAAACAACATAGTGGAATTTTAATTACCTTGTCCTTGTTGCTGCCCTTGTGCAGGCAGGACACACTGTCCCAGCTCACCATTCAACCAGAGCTGCATACGAATAAATGGTTCTCGGCCTTTTTGGGTCAATTTGCTCCATGGCTTTGGCCTGGAGAGCATGTCACTGACACTTCCTTGGGACAGCCCCAATACCTGAAGTGAAGCAACCAAGAATGGCACGTTAACACACTGGCAGTGGAAACGGGGGGAATTTAAATCATTTTGGTTTCCTTTACTGTATCGCTCAAATTGTTTGTAAATGGACAATTATAAAAGCTGTAAAAATTGGACAATTATAAAAACTGTTTTCTGTGGATGCTCAGATGGAAATGCTTTTCTTGCTGCCATGTTGCCTTCTGAAGGAAGGTGGGTTTTTCCTGTAGGATCTGGGTGGCAGCAGCCTGGTGAGGGATTTGCATGCTTTTCATATTTTGTGTCAAACAGTTTCATCAGTTTTAACAGGAAAAACACCGAGTCCAGGCACACACAGGCAGATGAAACAGGCAATGACTGGCATGTATTTTGTTCTCAAACAAAAATAATTGGGACTTTTGAGACTAGGCCTATATTTGGTTGATTTTTGGGGGATGAATTATAACGATGTGTGTTTTCACCTGTAGCAGCAGCTGCTCCACATAAGTAAATATTTAAGAATACAGCTGAATGCAGGGGGGAGAATTTCAGACAGGCAGAATGCAATTACTTGCCTGGTATTCAGCACAGGTACAAGAGTTAAAAATCATACTTAATGAAAGCTGCCATGGGATCTTTAATGACCCCGAGAGGTCAGACTTTTCATTTTACATCTTAGTGAGAAGGTAATAGTGCGATGCCAGCTCCTATTACACTTTTATATTGATTCAATTCTTTATAGGGAGAAGAAACAACAAATGTCCAACACTTTTTACAGCCTGGGAGTAGTTTTCTGGTGGTTAGGGACCCTCAAAATCCCACGTGCTCAGTGCTTAGGGCTCACAACGTGAGAACTTCAGGGAGCTTTATCTGTAATCAAACATTGCTCTAAAACATCTCAGAGCTGAGGTACTGAGCACCAGGTATTAGAAATGACTTGGAATTCTTGACTTCAGACTAAGGAGAGTTAGGGGATTTTCCATGTGTTTGTTTTAATGCCCTTGTGCACATTTCCAAATAATAACGAAAGAGGAAAAATGCTCTCGTGTCCGTAATCTTTGCTTATAACAAAGTTAAGACTCTCCAGTCATGACAATGGCATTACTCAAATATTCCACGAATTCATTACATTAAGCATGAAATATTGAGTCTCAGCAACGTTTGCTTCAGCTTTCAAGGTTTCTAAACTCAGGGCCCCATTCCTAATTCCAAGTGGCTGAAGCCAATCCCTGGATAAAAACCCTTGCAATTCCTACCACACAGAGGGAAACTAACACTTTGTGAGTTTTGAAATACTTCACACACGGAGCAAAACCATTTTTCCACAGGACCCCTCTGGCTCTGTAAGGAGCAGAGGGCACAATCACAACACTGGTGAAACAAGAGAGAACCACTTCTTTACCTTTTCCCCAAAGATCCTTTGGCAGATGCCATTCTTTGCTAGCTTTTCCTTGACCTGCCGCGTTAGCTCTATGGTATCCACCTCCTGGTACATATAAATCTCATACTGCTCGGGTGTCAGTGGAGGAACCGAAGGTTTGGATGGCTTGGACAAGGACACGATAGGGGATGAAGGGAGGGGGCTATTCTGTGGTGTCTCACTGCGACTCGCCCCAGTCATGCTCAATTCAGAACTCTGCGAGTACGGAGATTCCGCGTTTGGCCACTCTTTCCAATACTCGGAAGAAGACGGTCCTTGGAGCTGGCTACGATCTGGCCTAGTCTGATTGCTGACCTTTTCTTTTCCACCACTGGCTTCCTCAACTTTTATATCTTCAGGAAGAGCTGCATTTCTTCTCTCATGCTGCACAGTATTCCACCAATGGTCCTTCCAAACACCACCACGTCCCAACTCATTTTTAACATGCCTCAACATACCCTGGGCAGAATCACTTATTCCATGAAGCTCTAAAACAGGCGCCTCCTGAGGCTCCTTTTTGAGCCCAGAGAGGTTCTGCAATGCAGAGATACTGGAATCAGTGACAGATGAATGTTTCTTCAGGGATATGGCCAAAGGAGAATAGCTGGAAACCGAAGACATTGCAGGTGTAGACACTAGTTTGGGGGACAGGATAGAAATGTCAGCTTGAGATAGAGGTGGTGTTTTTAAGGCAGGTTCAAGGGCAGCCTGCTGTGCCTCCATTTCCCGTCGGGCTTGTTGCAGAATGGATCGAATTGCATCATCAGAATTGCCACTGCTAGAGGCAGAAGGCGGCTGAGCCGGCTCAGCTATGAAAAACAACCAAAAGACTAAATGCAACAGAGGAAAATGCTTTATATTCAACACGTGCTACTGTAAACATTTCCCTGACAGGGGAAAAAAAAAAAAAAAAACAAACCCAAAAACGGGGCTGAAATACATTTCTGGATGGGAGGGAGGAGTTTTCACTAAGCTAAGATTTGCACTTTTCAAACTAATGTAAGATTTCCAAAGTCCTTCACTGGAAAATTTTGAGAGTTGCCAAAGTGCTGGATGTTTGCACGCACAGACTCAGCTGCACAAGTCTGGGATCACTTGCCCTTCCACCATTGTAAAAATTTTCAAATAAATGCCTTTGAAAATCAACCCTTCACTTCTTCTTCCCCCACCCCCACGTGGTCAATAACATTTTATAGCTGCATTTACAAAGTTATTTAACCTTTCACTTCACTCTTTTCTCCACAAATGAATTTAACACGCACTCAGAACTGAACACAGCTGCATTCACCTGGACAGACTATTACAGTATAAATAAGGTGAGACCTTTTAACTTCAAAAGCACAACACACAAATTACAGCAAAGACAGAACTTTAGGAAGAGATGATCATCATTATTTCACTTGACAAACTAAATATGCTCCTGCTTCCTGATTTCTTGTACCATAGTCCCAACCACTGAAATAAACAGCTCCACCAGAGCCAGGCTGACACCTGGGCATCACCCTCTCCCTTGTCTGAAGCTCTAGGATGGAGTCCCAGGTGTTTTCAGCAGAGATAACCCCAAATGCAGCATTCCAGTGGGGAACCAGGATTTGGGTGGCTGTGCTGCAGCAGTCGGGGATGAGCAGAGACTGAACGTGGGTGGGAATTATCTCTGCAGAGCCAGGAGGTTTTGCAATGGCTCTGCTTCTATTTCAGTCTGCACTGAGGTCCCCAGTGCTTGGGAACCAGTTCCTCTGAAAGCTGCTCTGCAGAGAACAGGCAAAGTGAGGCACCAGGTGGGAGCAGGGAACTCCACAGTGCAAGGAGTGGCCCCAAAGTGAAATAAGATTTCCAACACATTGTATATTGCTCCAGTAATACTAAAACTCATCTGAATGCATTTCTGAATTTGCGTCCCTACACTCCTTCCTGTCACACACTGTAAAATACATGAAAAGCTAAGAAATAGGAAAAAAAGACAGTGAGACTATCTCTGTTGTTTTATCTGCTGGTTTCACAGGCAGTTTTGAGGCCAAATTAATATTTGAAAGGAAGTCTGAGACTCTCGGATGAAACATGCTACTGAGTAACATTCTTGCAGTTTCCTGCACAAAATCCATATTTTTCTCTATGTAATAATTTCCTGCATAAAGTCATATTATTTAGATCATATATTAACTAGTGTTTTATACTCTGCCACGAGATTAACTTAGTTTTCATTTGAAAGACAACTATCCAAAACTGTAAACCAGTATTTACTTTAAAAAAATGAAACAGAAGCATTGCACAGTAATTTCTACTTCAGCCCAATAGCACAACTGGGAACTCTTAAAGCTGAGAGGGCCATGGACTAGACAGAAATGTTAATTACATGACAGCATATAATGAGAAATTAGACTTATCTCAGGCTAAGAGGGATTTTTTGGGAAAGGGAATGCGTTTTGGATTTGCCAGCTCATTCACTGAATACGTTCTGTAACCAAAAATAAAATCATCTAAGAGTCAGGACTGAGTGTGCCTATCTGAGTACAGGATGTACCACGGTGCTGGGACTGGTAATTGCTGCCTGGACTGTGACCTTCACCCCAGCAAATCCATCCAGCCCCTCTCCCATGCAGTCGTGTCCCTGGGGCCTGAGTGAGACAGAAGGGAAGAGAAAGCAGGAGCTGTTCCCTTTCCAAGGAGCAAACCGGGAGAAGAAAGGATTCTGCAGGCTGCTCTCAGTGACTCCTGCAGGTCTGGAGGGCAGCCAGGAGCTCAGAGCTCTCTCCATCACAGGGATAAAGGTGTTCAGAAATCCCACAGGGAGCAGGGCAGAGCAGAGACCCCACCATGCCAGGAGTGACCTTAACTTGGGATGTCTCAGAGACAGAAACAACTCCGCTAAATAACAATAAAAACCTCCAAAAAACCTCTTCAAACCTACACTGAATCTTTTAAGAATATAATTAACTGACCAGAAAGCTCATGGCAATTGTTTTAATTAAATTCTGCAGTAAAAGCAGGCAGAGACAAAATGAGGCTGTACCTGTTTTCTGTACTTGCAGCTCCCTTTTGGCTTGTTCCAGGATGGATTTGATGGCTTCATCAGAGCCAGACTCTGCGGTTCGGATTCGTGTGGTTATGTTACCTGGGGAGGGAAAAAAACACAACTAATGACACCAGGAAAACTCTTATTTGGCTGTTTTTGTAACACAAACACACACTGGATGTGAGACATGGCCAGCACAACTTGCACAGGACCTTTACTAACATTTACATCACATAAAAAAAGTACTGAACATAGTAAAAGCAAAATATCCTCATTGTGCCTGTCTCTAGCTGCCCCAGAATGGTGAGAACACCAGAGGAAGAACTAGTTGGTCATATATTCCTTTTCTGTGATAACATACATAGATCTATTCTTTTTTCCTTTTCTTTTTGTGGTTTTTTTTTTTTTTTTTTTTTTTTTGGAGGGGAAGAGGAAATAGAAAGTGAAAAGAACCAGAGGGGAAAGGAAGAAAGCTAAAAAAAAATAAGCCCAGGAATCAACTTAAAAACGGCATCAGCTGCTAGGCAAAGTAGGATGAGTATACATTCAGCCCAAAACAGAATTAAAAAGTAACTAGATAAAAATAATTTTTAACTTTCTAGAGGTTAATACATTAAGAGAAAGAGTCATTTAAATGCAGATACCATTTAAGTACTCTCCAGCTAAGAGCTATTACTTGGTTGTTTGGTTTTGCTTTTTTTTTTTTGTTGTTTTGCTTTTTGTTTTTTAACCTCTAAGGGGAAGAAAAGGAGGGAAAACTGTGAGTGCTACTGCACTTAACTGCATTTTCCATTATGAGATTATTGTTTGTAAGCAATTGAGGTAATTTGTGACTGGAGTCAAAATAACTACAGACTTTTGATGTACCTGCCTTTGTTTTTCCTTCTTCCTGGTCTCACTAAAAGAAAATTTCTGGAACTAATCTATGACAAAACTGTGCAGACTTCCTGTTCAGTGGTAATTTATGGATCTGATGTTCACTTATCTTGTTGCCTTTTTCATATGTAATACTGAACTAAGCATCACACTAATTTAGCAGTGTATTAAAGTGGAATTTGTCAGCATAAGCCCCATGAGAAGAAAGAAGTAAGCCTAGAGCAGCAGAAGCAGTATGCAATTGATGTTATAACTGTGCAACTTTCTCCCTCCAAAACCATAAAAATAGCAAAGAGAGCATTTCAATAGATCTGATGACTTTATAAAGCCACTTCCATCACTTCTCTCTATCTGTTTTGCAGGGGGGATGGAAGAACTATCTAAACAGGGTTACGTTAGTACAGCAGCAGCAGAATTAGAAAAAGCAAAGTGTTCATCTAACCCATGGTTTGTTTTATACTTACTGTCTGTTTTTCTATCAGATTCCAGGCCAGAATCAAACTGCACAGTTTTAAGGAAACACACAGCTAAAGCACACTCCACTTCCTAGGGATTGACTGCAAAGAAAAACACCTGCCTGTGACGTACCTTCAGCCCCATTTCTTCGTTTCGGTACTTCCTGAAATAGTCTGTTCAGGTTCTGGCCTGGATTCTCTGTTGAAAAACAAGTTTGGTAAGAACAAAACAATCAGGGGATGGTTGCTCTGACATCACTGTGTGACATGAGGAGCTGGCAGCCTGGCCCTGAGCTCTCCTGGCCCCTCGGGCCCCTGAGCAGGAGGAACTGGCTACTTGGGAAGAAGCAAGGCTGGCTGATTTGTTAATAAAGATTACAGCTATGTTCGGAAAGGAGATTAGACAGATATAAATAAATGTCTAGAGATACCAAAAATGAAGAGGTTAAAGATGGGCAGATAATCCCCTCAAGTACAATCATCAAAAGGAAGAACAGATTATAAATCTAACAGTGTGTGCTTCCAATTAAACAAAATCTAGGAAAACCCTGCCTGTCCTTTCCAATATTTCTTGACTATAAACAACTTACTTTTCTGTTTCTTGAAATGTAAATCTCAGCCTTAAGATGAATCACAATGAAATGCATGTTACTTCTTAAAATCGCTGCCTTAAATATGCAAAGCTGCTTTAAAACTGGGATTGTGTTTTAATTACTCATCTCATGCATCACCTACCCTATTTTGTCAGAACACTTTGGGGAAAAAACATAATCACACAAGACACAACAAAAGCCTGGTCTCAGTAAATAACCTCAAATAAAAACCCCCAAGTATTTCTGAGGGCTGATACCCCGAGTAGCTGCTGACCCTTTTGGCTCTGTGCTGAGCTGTGGCACGGAGGGGGTGACAAGTGAGGGCTGTGAGTGTCCCTGCTGCTCACTCCTGCTGACAGGCACCAACCAGTGGCTAAAAAAAGCACAAGCACAGATACGAACCTGCCTGAGTGCTGCAGAGCTGAACTTGCTGCACCTGGCACCTGACCTGGGTGAGAGCAGCAGCAGCAGCGCACAAACAGCCCCGGATGGAGAAGCTCCTGGTTTGGAATGTTTGGAGCTAAGAGGAGCAGGGGGGCTGGGGAGCTCTTACCTCTCTGTCTGCCCTGGATGCTGCGAAGAGCCAGGATGTTCTGCTCGTCCGACAGGAACTGCTTCATCTTATGAAATGGCTCCTTGCCTCTCACAGTCAGTTTATTCCATGGCTTTGGCCGGGCCAGGATCTCACTCACAGACCCTTGTGACAGTCCCAACACATAATGTCCAAATATCCGCTGTCCAATATTGTGCTTGATCAACTGCTCTTTCACCTGACGTGCAATTTCGGCCGTGTCTATCTCCTCGCCTTCGGAGATGCTCCCAGCACTTTCTGACTGGCTGGGAGATGGGGCCATGCCATTTACATCCGGGCTTTGTTGTAATGGACTTTGGGAAGATATGGAGTTTGTGCTGTATGGACCTGTTGGAAAAATCATGCTTGTGCTTCCTGCTTCCTGCATTGCCTTGGAGTAGAAGGACTGCATTAGCTGTCGCTGGAGGAGAGAGTTTAGTGCAAATTTTCCTGTGGAGGCCAGGGGTAAGCTGGGGCTCGCCAGGGATGAGCTGAAAAAGTCTTGACTTAAACCCGTTGGTGAGAACTGGTGTGTACCATTAGTATTGGAAGCCTGCTCCCCCGCGTTGCGGAGCAACTGGGAAGGAGGGGAGGCCGGCAAGGTTGCAGGACGCTGACTCTCAGGCTGGTCTTTCCCTTTTCTCCTGGCTGACCCTACAAGGAAGGTCAAACATAATGCATTATGGGGGGTCAAAGAGGGAAAAACCAAGATAAAAAAATGCAAAGTTTGCCCCGCAAAGGGAAAAAGTGCAGATTGACACGGGCCAATGGAGTGGCGGTGGGAGTTTTGGTTTTGTTTGTTTTCATTTGTTGGGTTAAATTTTTTTTTTTTAATTTTCATTTTAAATTTTTTCCAGGATTGTAAATTTTTAAGCCAAACAAGGCCCCCAAAACAAACAACATGCATTTCATGTTTGCACCTTTCTTGTATGTTGCAGCCTGGAGAATCCCCCTTACAGACATTAACACTAGAACAGTTACATGAAGTGCAGTGATACAGTTAAATAAATCCATTTACAGACAGCAAGTCTCTCTGTTGTCTCTCATTCAAGATATGACTCATTGGACCTGACTGAACCCAAATGCAGCAAACATTTACATTTTGGAACAAACCAATTTGAATAAAGGAATAACCATTAGGTGGATGCACCAAGATCGCTCAGTTAAAAGTCATAAAACACTTCAGAATTCAGTAATCCCAGGGCCAGTGGCAACTTTTAACTTTCTTCCAGCTGCAAAAACCATCATTCAAGAATCTGGAAATTCCATGACTTGCCATTTAAAAAATGTGCACACAAGATGTAAAAGCCCACATTAGGAAAGCCAAACAGCAAACACACTTCGCTGGGAAGAAAGCATTTTGCTTTCCCAAGCTGACCTGCTGGTGGTATATCCAAGTGTATCAGACAGGGAGACTGTGATCTACATGCACAACACTGTGTGTGGGGGAAAGAGATGGATTTGTTCCCAAAACACAAGACAGCCTCAAACACTGGTACAGCCTGTAATGCCTCTTCCTTAACCTCTATAGACTCTAACTTTTACTCCATTATCCAGCCTACAAACCTACAGCAATCCAACGTTCCGCAGTGCGCCTGTTGCTCCTCAATCCTCCTGCCATGCATGAGCTCAGCCACTCAGCTCTCACTCAGCCCTCCCTCCCACCACAGGCCAGCAGAGGCACCCAGAGGAGGCAGGATTTGGGTGACCTACCGCTCAGGTCGCTGTTGGTGATGCGCAGCGTGGCGTTCTCCGACTGCAGCGAGCGGTTCTTCTCCAGCAGCAGCACCTCCAGCGGCTTGGATGCATCCTAAAGGAAACCAAAGGGGGAGGTTTGTTTCTCAAAGCACTGAGAATATCACTCAGGCACTCAAAAGGATTTCAGAGGGGAAAAAAATTAACAAAAACCAAATGTTTGACTGGTTTCTGAAGGCAGTGAGGGAATTTGCTGGGCACAGAGCAGCAGGAATCACTGCGGGCTCTGGTGGGAGCCACAGAACAGATTCACAGTTTAATTTTCATTGTAAATCATTCATCAATTCTGCATTATTTTGAGATGTGTAACGGAACGTTTTCTTAATCCTACTTATTTTTAAATGGTCCTGGCACACTTTCAGTTTGACTTCTTTTAATCTGATTAAACCAAGAGTTAAGATTATATTATTCCTTCTAGGTCAACTGACCCAAGCTAAGCATTTCCTTGACATGCTGCATTTCAGCAGAAACAGTTTGTTCAAAATAACACCAGTCAGAGAAACCTGCTATTTACTCTCCCCTAAATATCTAACCCTTGATCATTAAAAAACCCATTGAAAATTAATCCCAGGATATCAATATTCAGTTTGGATTTCAGAAACAGGAATTTAATTCATAACCTTTAAACTGAAGTAAGATTAATTAGCTGGAACAGCGGAGCTCTCTCACTACTCCAAGGTTTGTTTTCTTTTGTGAAAAGAAATTTTCAAGGCTAACAAATACTTAAAAATGCTGAAGTCCTTGCATAGTGTGCTGCCCGTACAACAACTCCAATATCTTTAAATGACTCAACTTCACAACATTCTGGTTTACCCACTCCAGCACAGCTGAAATGTCACTTTGTCCTTGACCACTTAAATGAAATTAACAGGCAAAAAAAAAAAAAGTCCAGTTCAGCTTTTTACATAAGAAAACATCAGGGAAAACAAGGATGGACCCAGAAGCCTCAACATCAACAGGAAACTGTCAATGTCAACAACAAGGAATTGCAAGACAAAATTTTTGTTTATCAACTAAGCTACTGAATAGGTAAGAAAACAAAAGTAAGTTCAGTACCTGCGCACCAGAGCTTTCAGATGGTGCAAACTCCATGGATTTCAATATACTGTAGAAGGCAGAAAAAAGAAATTATTTTCTATTTCTTCCTTTCATAACAACTCCACTAATGAGCATTAACATTATCATGTCCTGTTCTCCAGTAACACCACAAGTGATGACAACCTTCCTTGCAGTAACACAATCTCCTAATGAATACAGAATAACTCCTCAAACCAGTTATTGGATAAGAAAATTTTCTCGAGCATCATCTAAATCATTCCATATGCAATCCCACCAGGCCAGTTTAAAGTGTAAATTTAAAGGTTAATAAGGATATAACATTTTAAGCTGTCAGAAACAATATAAATTTATCTGTGAAGCTGGAAGGGAATGAGGAAATTGCAGCAAAGCAGCAAAACAGGGGAATCACCACTACAGTACAGCACTTTACAGAATAAACTCCAGCTCACCAGCAAGGAAAATATGCACAAATAATCCTCCCAACCAAGGCACTACAGGCTAAAAGGCAGTTTTTCATTTTAATAACCCCCTCATTCTATGGCAAAGGGAAGACAAAATGGCCCAGTATTTCTTAAGAAATATGAAAGATCCAAATATTTATAAGTACATTAGGAGCAGAATCTGATAGTCTCATTGTCAATATTTTATACAAATAGCGAGCGGTCAGAGGATGTCTCCCTTCAGAGGCTCTCAGTTAGAGCTGTGTCATCTGGCAAACCAGAATCTTACAGGAATCCAGACTTATTACTGTACTTTGGTGGATAATTTTTTTTAAAACCAGCCTGCTGCAGGCAGGACATGAACTTGCTCAGACTGAAGCAATAAACGATTTCAGCTTCTTACTGTTCAAAGACAACATTCATTTGGTGAAGAAAAACACATAAACACATATAGATGGTGTTTACACAGCATTTGTCATGTGTAAAACACCAAGAACTCTGTCAGCAGGAACAATCTGGTTAATCATGTATTAAATTGCATTAAATGCTGTGGATCATGTATTCAAGGTTTTGGAATTGCCCCTGGATCTCTGGAAGTGTCCAAGGCCAGGCTGGATGGAGCTGGGAATAACCTGGGGTAGTGCAGGGGTCCCTGCCCATGGCAGGGGGTGGCACTGGATGAACTTTAAGGTCCCTTCCAGCCCAAAACATTCAGTGATTCCATGAAATGTGGAAACTGAGAGGAAAAAAGGGCAGAAGTTCAGTGTTAAGACGCAGGAACTGGTTCTGGATGCCATGAGGAGTTAGCCAGGCACTCATTAACTGCCTGAACCTGTCCCTGCATTAATCCAGAGTTAGATGTGCATTAAGTGACACTCTGGAAATCAGGTCTCTGGGCCATTCAAGATCACCCAAAGTCACAGCAAACCCAAAGGAAAAAAAAGTCATTCTGAGAAAGAGACCTGATGTATCTTGCATCTGTGCATACTCACTGCACACAGGGTTAATTCTGACAGCATCCCTAAAATATAGTAATTAATGAAACCACAAATTTCTGGCAATCACTTTCATTACATGGCATCACTCAGTGTCACCTCTTGCCTGGCTGTAGGGTGGAGCCATCACCCCATACACAGCACATAAAGTGATGTTGTGAAGACTATGTGGGCACAACAGCTCAGCCACATGCAAAATCAACTCTTTTGTGCTACCAGTGGATTTGTGCCAGTCAAGGGAACAGGATATGGACTAATGGTAAGTTCTCAGAGATCCTGACACCACTTTGACATCACAGATGTGTGACTCAGGTGGCAAAACCCCAAAAGCCAAAGTGTTTCTAGGCACAGCTCTGCGTCCCAGGACTCCAAGGTGCTGGGGGAGATAAATGCACAGAGACTCATCCAGGCAAAACCCCAGCCAGGTCTCTGTTCCCATGAATTCTGCAGGGAATGGCCTCTGCAGGGACAGCCAGTCCTAATGCACATCCTCACGATGCCCAAATGAGGAGACTCATCTGAATTTCAAACCCAGTAAATTATCAGGTGGCAAACATCCCATGGGAAATCCCATTTCAGCTCAGAGCAGTTGTGACCCCACTTACCACACATGGGTTTGCCATGGGGAGCAATCCAGCAGCATTCCAAACACCTTCCTTCCTCCTGGATGAGGCCAAACCAGAAAAAGCTGCTCTCTCCCAAAGGAGCAGATGTGAGAGGTGCCCTGACCACACAGTGCTGCCCCCAGAACCAGGCTGACAATGGTTGGAAGCATGAACCTGGTTATGGTTATATTTGGTTCTCCACACCAAAAATCTGCCTGTAAAGCCCTGATCCTGTCATCCCTCTCCTTGCACAGGCTGATGCATTTGGTTCTGAGCACCTGCTGCCAGCTGGGACCTTCAGGGAGGATCCTGAGTTTCCAGTAAGATTGGTGCAGGAAATGTGTATTCAAACCTTGGCTGGAAACCTACTGACCTCTGCCTGCCTGAAGGGGATTCTTTGCTAACTGAATTAACTTTCTGACAATTTCACAGGTAATTTCCTACATAGTTGAAACACAAAATATACTAAAAATCAAGCTGATGGCACCTCTAATTGCCCTAAGAGGAATATTCACTCCAGCAGGTTCATTTTTAAAAGAATGTAAAAGTTAAACATGTCAAAAATGACTCTCCAAATGTGTCACAAAAGACACATTCTCCTCAGGAAAATGAGGAAGCACAACGTTTCTTCTTTGGATTCCACGAATATCTTTGCCCATGAGATCCTGACTCAATCTGTGGCTCAAGATCAGTTACCTGCTTTTTAAAGAAATGATCTTGTGACTTGAATCTGCACATCTAAGAAGACTTGAAAGATCTGACTGTAAAGCAAAGTGTGCATTGGGACAGCTTGACTTTCTGTTCGTCTGATCCCGACTGCAAAGGCAGCAGGGTCAGCCCTGTCGCGCTACTTGAGAGGGAGCTGAAGGCACACACAGAGCTCTCAGATCTCAAAAATAGGTTTAGAAGCCATTGGGCACAAAAGGCAAGGCAGAAAGTGAAGAATTCTCCCATCCCAGATCTTGACATGGGCCCAGCTAAGTTCCTCCAGTCAGGAGTTGGGCTGATATTGAGACCCTCAGCCCAGCTTGCCTTTAACACCCCAGAAAGGGTTAAAGAAAATACATCAGTGCCAAAACACCTTAAAAATTCATTCTATTCCTGCTGCACTGACAAGATCTCTTTTCTCTAGGTGCAAATGCTACAAGCAGCTCATTTCTGTCAGTGTTTCAGGGCACAAGGCAGGGGCAGCAAGATTCAGAGTGAGGGCTGCAGATTTACAGCAACAGACTTCTCCAGCCTCATTTACAGCAGGTCTCAGTTCAGATCAGACTGTCAGTGCCAGGGGATGCACACTGAGCCCTCAGCACAGCACCTGGATTGGATGGAGCATGGGAATGCTGTGAAGCAGCTGCTTGGAGGATGCAGCATTGCAAACATCCTCAGTGCTCCCTCAGAGGGCCTCAACCCTCATCCTGTGGGATGGACCCCAGGGCCTTTACAAGCCAGCTATCAATTCACAAATTAGGGATATAAAAGCTGGAACAGCTGGGAAAACAGGGTTAATTTACTGGCACCCAACCAGGGCCACTTCCAGCAGAGTCTCCCATTTATTTCTCTGCAGGCTCATCCTCAGCAGAAGCACCATGTGAAGCCTCCTGTCACAATTTCTCTGATCTGCCTTACCACCCCTGCTCTCATGCAAGTCAGTGTTGTAAAAAAAAAAAAAAATTAAAATATTGGTATTATCACCAGGAATACAGGGTTTGTATTTAAAGTATAAATACAAAGTAAATGAGTATATTCAATGAATATATTGAGTTCTTAGCACCTTAAGTCTGGCTTTAAAGTCCTGGTCCTGTTGTATTAAACCTCTGCAATAAAGCAGGTAAGATTCAAAACTCATTTGTTGTTTCAGCACATTTACATGTAATATCTTATGCAAGAAGCTGGAAGATTGTAGCCTTATTCCCATTCACTGCTTCACAAATGAGGACATAAACTGGCTAAAACCTGAAGCTGTTCCCTTAACACAGGAGAGGACATGGATGTATTTACCCCTAAATCACTAAATGATGATGCTATTTTGAGCCCAGGTAATAATCAGGTAAAATGACCAAATAAATGGTCAATTCATTTAATTCCAGTGAAAATTATACCCCTGCATCAGGGTGTGCTGCAGCTGGTGGTGAACCAGAACCTCAGCCAGCGTGGCTTGAATAAATCAGCACCAGGGGCTGGGCAGTTGTGGGGCTTGCAAATCCAAATCTGCTTTCCATATTCTCCAGGGATGTGTAAACAAAAGCACATGACTACCAGCCTCATCTGAAATACCTCATTAAACCAGGGAATGGGTTATTTCAGCCTTTTTAAAACACACACAGAAATGCCAGAATGATGAAAGAAGAGATGGGAGTTTCTCGCAGTTATTTAAACCTTGACACTAAACATATTTCCAGTCAGAAAAGTTCTCTTCTGAACCTGACAGCTTATCTTGTTATAGTTTAAAATGAGGCTCTTTTAAGTCTCTTAAGAAAATCCCTTGAAATAGGAAGAGGCTGTTTGTGGCTTTAGTTTAAAACCACAATATATTAGCAAAAATATACAGTGAAACAAGCCCAGCATTAAACTGGAAAATGCTGAGCACTGGGTGGCAGGAGCAGAGCAAACGTACCATGGCCAAAGGCTCTGCATGTCATTTTTGGTCCACATGACCCTCAGCTGTTGGCTGGAGACTTTTAAAGACTGGTCCACCTAAAATACCACAGATTTTGAAACTTTTTTTCCTTTCTGGACAATAGTTTCAGTGGCTTTTCTTCATGGACATGTGTTTTATTTGCTATTGTGATCCTCTGCTGCAACAAAAAGGAGCACTCTCAGATATAGCAGTTCCACTGGTTCTGGATGCAATTTCTGCCAATATTCCCAATTTCCTCGTCTTTGTGGTTTTGACTGAATTTTTTATTGTTCCAAGAACACAGATTTGTGGCTTCATTTAACAAGCACTGTTCAACCAGAGTTTGTGAAAAAATTATGTAAGCATTTAACACTTACTTTAATTCTTTCTTAACCTCTTCATAATCAGCCTGTCCTTTCAGTTTTTCTTCCAGTTGCTTTAAAAGAGAGAACATGGATTTAATTATTTACATTGTTTTTTTTTTTCTGCAGGCTTTGAAAATCATCTTCAAATTATTCCATATATACAGCAGCGCACAAGTGAGGGTTAATGACTCATACCTAATTTACATATATTAGAAAACAAACTATAACCAATTAAACGTAAACACAATTATACCTCGCTCATCCTTTGTTTACAGAGTGCCAAGCATGACAGAATTCAGTGGGTCCCAATTTGGCTGCTTGCAATGTCACTGTCATGTGCTCAGGGAAGAGATTGGGGATGAAGGTATTAAAAAAAAAAAAAATAAAAATGGGGCAGCTGAAATTTTCAGGGAGATTGAATAAACAAGCAGGATGCTTTGGCACACACTGTATTCTTAATAGGACAGTTCTTGATAACCTTATCTCCATGATAAAAAGAGCAGACTGAAGAAGCTGTTGTTGATTGGAAGGCTCCTACAGCACCTCAACAGCTGTACCAGAGGTTTCACAAGCATTACTGAGCAGAGAGGGAGCATCGAGGCCACCCCAGCTGCTCTGCCCCACCCAGGGTGGCCCCAAAGGCTGAACCAAACCCCCTGCCACCATCCAGAACGCAATGTCACACACTTGGACCTTACCCAGCTCCCACCAAAGTGCTCATCACTACGGGGTAAATGCTTCAGGAGGCCTAAAACATATTGATACATAATTGATGCAGTTATGGTGCTTGCAGAAGCCACATTAATTGCAATAATTTCTTTGCTTAGTGCAGGCACACCTGATCTAAGCAAAGAACAGAACTTATTGGCTTGCAACTTCCATGGATAAATTCAGGCTAACTCTGCTTCAGTTCATTTTTGGTGTTAAAATTGGCACAGAATCCCAAAGGTCACGGGAAACAGAAATAACACAAGGACGTATCACCTCAAAGACAGAGAATCTACTTTGAAAAGGAAAGGAATAGATGACATGAAAAAGAAAAATAAGGCTTTATGTCCAGGAGAGGCTGCCTTCAGGGGAGAAGGGAATTCAAGATCTTACACCCACTCTGGGGCTGCTCTGGATGCAGGAGGAGGGCAGGGGAGGGTTGCTGGAACTTGGATAATTTTAGCAAAGCTGTTTAAAATGCAGCAGCCCAGCTGTGGGGCATGGAGGCAGGGCTGGGGAAACACAATTGGGAACCTGCTCCCTGTGCTGTCTTCCCCAAAAAGTCAGTGTGTGGGTATCACAGAGCTGTACAAACCCCAAAATGATGCAGCACAGCAAATCCATGGAATCCATGGGCTGAGTCATCTCAGTAATTTAAATGAGGCTTCTTCTGATGCCAACAGCAGCATGGTGGGGCTCTGTGGGACTTTATTCTGCCATTTTTTGAAGGATTTCCTACCCAGCCCTGTGCAGCTCTCACACTGCTGACATGTCAGCCCTGCCACAGCACTGCTGTTAAGGAGCAGTGACAAAGTGGACAGCCAGGTTACCAACCCACAGCCCTCTCAAGGCCCTGTTCCTGCTCTCTGCCACCACAGCCCAGCACCCTCAGCACTGCTGAGACAGGAATCTCCTGCAGGAACAGCCAGGCTCAAGGAGCAGCTCTTAATGGATCCCAGGAGCTGCTGCTCAGTGTGGAATTTGCACTCTGGGACCCTGATGGAACAAGTGGCATCCTAGAAAGGTCTCGTGTCTTTTGTCATCAGTGGCTGTGCAGTCATTCAGTTGTGTTAAAAATAAAAATGAAATGCCTGTTTTAGCTACAAGCATTTTTTTTCACCTGGAATAGATACAGGGCAAGTTTTAGTAGTTTTTTTCTGGCGTGTCCTGCCTTGCCAAATTCCAATTACTGTCTGGAACTATAGGAAGCACTGACTTTGCTTTAGATAGCAGACAGTGCTTCAGGAAAATCCTGCTTGATGTCACCAGGAAAATCCTACAAATACTAAAGATATTGGAGGTTTTGATAATTTACAACACATGTTGAAATCTCATTATGGGGATGTACTACATAGTCCCAGGGCCTGAAGTTTCACATTTTGAGGAGGGTCAGCCATAACAGGCCAGGAGCTCCAGCAGCTTTTCAAGCTGCAGCTCAACACTGAGCAAAACACAGTGACTCCAAGGAGGTGGAATTTTTAGTGCATCAGGTCAGGCTGGAGAGGGATCTCTAAATGAAACCAGTGAGCCAAAGAGCCCTTGGTGCTGGGAGGAGACTCAGCATCAGAGCTGAGAGTTTGCCAAGTGGTCACAGGCAAGGGGAGGAGCTGCCAAACCCCAAGACGTCCTTCTGCTCTCCTTGGTCTTGTCACTTTGTCCTTCTGTCTCTGCAAATCCACTGCAATTCACCTTTCCTTAACTCTGTGACTGGTAACATTTTGGGTCTGGAGCACAGGAGCTTGTACAGCAGGAATAGCTGGCAATTTACACCAGTTCTCAGTATAAAAAGGACCAGAAGAAATTTAAAACAAGCAATACCCTGGATTAATATGTTAGCTACTTATGCAAGGGTAAGCTAAGAAAACAGCCTTTTGTAGAAACAGAGTAAACCACAAAAAAGCTAAAGATTCCCATTTTAATGGAATCTGTATTAAATGTAATTCTGTGCAGGGAAGTGCTACACCCTGGAATATTTAGATACAAAGCACAGGTAGAAAAATAAAGAAAAATAAGAGATATTGACAAAATGCAGCTGGTTTGGACTCTCAGGTACTTGCTACAGCAGTATGACAACCAGCAATATTTTACTTTGGATTGTATAAAAAACACACACATCCATCATTCCCAAGTACCTCATACAGAGATTGTTGCCATGGAAAACCTGCACCTAAACATCTCCTTCAGTAAACAATATAAACTAACAACTGAGGATGCAGTGCCTGTGTAGAAACAGAACATTTAGGCACTTGGCATCTTCCCAGTCAATGACTGTTTTAAAATGTATTAGTATGGTAATTGTCTCCAAGAACCCTGTAAAATGCACAGAACATGGGATAACAAAGGTTCAAGCTGTGAGACAATCTGGAGGAACTAATATCTTGCACTAAATATCAACCTGGTTAATTCAGACAAAATATATTCCAATGACCTCCAACACACAAAAATGCCGGAGCCAGAGGGCAGAAGGAATGGACTGGTGGCTTTCCTGCATATTACATTTGCAAATATCCCATGTTAAAGAATCATCTTGCATCTGTGGTGTGAATAAACCCATGCCAGAGCATGCAGAGATTGGGTCCCTCCTCATGTTATTTAGAAAATACAATCACTACTGTATTATTAACTAAACTGGCACAGGTAAATAGCAGGGGCTGTGTTGAGGGGCTTAAAACATTTCAATAACCATTAGATTAACACTGTAGTTCAGTTTAGAGTGATCAACTACATTACTGAATTTTAACTGGGTAGCAGAGACATTCTAGCACCCAGCCACAAAGGGTTAATACAATTAGAGTGAGAAAAGTCTTGTTACTAGAGGACATGTTTTGATTATTAGATCAGATGAAGATAAAGAAGCAATAATTTTGAAAGTATTTCTGTATTGTTTCATTAAGTCATAGAGTATTAAACAATTCCCCCAAGATACAGGTTGAGAACATTGCTTTAATTTGTGAAACTGTGAGTTGTTTTCTGTGGAGGCAACCATTAAAATCTCTGTTATTTCAGAAGCAATTCCTCCATAATCAAACAGGAGATCAGCACATTATCACTGAGATTTGGTGCTTTGTACAACCTGTGCCTGGCACAGGCTTTCCCAGCACTTTGGGGTCAAAGTGAGTGTTTGGAAATATTTTTATAGTTGCAATAAATAAGGTTAAAGAGGGTTGAAATGACTAAAACTTTATCAATAGAGGCACTACATCAGCCACTATCACTAGAAAGCTAAATACAGAGCATTAGCCAGGCAAGGCTATGAGAAAATGGAAGGAGATTACTGAAATGAAAATCAAAGACTTGCTCTGTCATTTCTATGATCCTACTCCCTTTGAAGTTAATGGCTAAACTAATACTGACCTCACCAGGAACATGCTTTATTCCAAGAAAATCTGTCAAGTGCAAGGATTCAAGATATTTTCTATCAGGCTTTATGAAAAAGTAAAATTAAAAAAATCCCCTGAACATGGGTGTAGCCAGCAGAATGTGTCCCTCAAAACCAGGGCAGCTCCTTTTTCCCTCAATAAATGTGCCCACATGGTGACAGGTGGGCAGGGAGTGATACTGTCAATGGAGTTACATAATAAGTGTCCTTTGCTCTACTGGATTTTCATAAAAATTCTGCAGAGCTAGCTTAAAGCATGCAGAAAACACTGACTGCAACACTTCAGCTTCCATTCCTAACAGGTCTCTCTCCATGTGAATTATGCTCCACCACAGCAAAACCAGTAACTGCTAAAAAATGTCAGAATTAGAGCAATTTGTAAGAGTTTCAATTGAACATTAAATCATTCTGATAGAGCAAAGCTGCCCACGCCACAGTCAGAGCTGAGTGGGAACTATCAGCCTCCTGCTCTCAGAAAACTCTCAGACTATCAAACCTGCACAACTACCAAGTCTTTAATGGAATAGATAAATTTATCTTGTTTACACTTTGGAGCTCATAGATGGTGGAACAATGAAGGAGACAGGAGTTACAGGAAACTGATTCATACCCCACGTCAGGAATCATTTCTCATGCTCACTCAGAGATCAGAACTGTGTGGGCTCAGCACAGGGAAAGTGAAACTGCCCAAGAGAGAGGTAAAAGGGTCACTCTGAGAATTCTTAGCTGCTCCTTCTGGTTTTAGTGCAGTGCTGCTCCTTTGCAAATGAGTACAGGGCCAGACTGCTAATTATAAATGGTAATTATTGTGCAGCAAATACACAGTTAAAAAAAATGAAATGAAAAAATTATTGATAATAATAAATAAATATTATTTAAATAATTAAATGGTTATTATATAAAAACCTTCTCCATGTCCTGATTTTACTTGTTTCTATGCCCTAAATGATAAACTAAAATCTAAATTATACACTTCCCATTTCCAGTGGAGAGAACTGGAGGGGGTAGCAGGCACATTGAAAGATATACCAATTCCTTGCAAAATCTTCAATATGTATAACTGCAATGGGAATAAAAGTTTGAAAATCTAAGAGGGATTTTCTGTGCTTTTTCAGTTTAACTGCTTCATTACATATCCATGCTCAGTGTCTGTTGGGGCTTGGTGGTGAAAACTAAAAGGTATCCTAAAGGTAGTTTTGTCCAATGTGCAAAAATACATTTCAAAACAGTGAGGACTGAGCCATTTAGAACTTCAAAAACCTGTGATCCCTTAAAACCCATATATTCAGGTGGTGGAATGGGATGGGTTTGAAGGTCCCTTCTAACGCAAACCATTCTGTGATTCCATGAATGCCACAGAAACCAGAACTCAGCTACACCCTGAAGGAGCCAACGGCTCAGGACCACAGGAAACCCCAACATCATCATGTCTGAGATGTTCTTTGGGCAGAAGCAAGCCTTACTTTGAGTGTGCTGTTCTTGGCTGTCAGCTGCTGCTCCAGCTGGGAGATTTGGCTGCTGGAGTTCTCCCTCAGCTTGGTGAGGCTGCCCTGGAGCCTCTGCACATCCTCGACGAGCTGCGCGATCTCGCGCTCCTTCGCCGCCAGCTCCACTTCCAGGCTGGAGCGGGTCAGCACCTCGATGGCCTGCTCCTGCAGGGAAAACACCATCAGGCCACAGAAAGGAAGGAAACTGGCAATTCCCCAACCTGGCACTCCTCTGATTGACATTGGGAATGTGGAAGATGGAATTTCCTACACCCCAGGACAGCTCTCTGGGAAAGCAGGGATAACAGAGGGAATAAATTTCACTATTTGGTAAGTGCACTGGAAAGATGCAGCAGTGAAAGTCAAAGGATTCTATTTAGATCTATTTATTATTAATAGCCCAAGTGCTTTGACAACTATGAAAATCTGTGCTTACAAAATACTAATCAGATAAAATATTCTGAAGTAATGGAGCAGAATTTCTTAATCAGGAACGGCAGAGCCATGTGCCTGTGGGCTCTCTGCATGCACACTGCACGTTTCAGGCAAAATTGTCAAAAATTGCCCCAAACTGCTACTTCCAATGAACTTGATCCTTGCATGAAAATTGTTCATGTTAACATTATTGCAAGCATCCCTCCATGGGGAAGAAGAGAGATGTGACAGCTCTAAGACAAGGCCATTCTCCCTTTGGTCACCACTTTCAGAAATTCCCTTTCCTAAATCTTCCTTCTTCCAGTTTCCCACAGCTGTAAAATCTGTCCTCAAGTCTGGAACTGACTTCCTGGGAGGACAAGGAATCAGAGTGGTCCAGAAGGAGGCAGATCCATTCAGGAAAGATAATGGAGACTAACTGCACCATCTCTGTCTCCTTCTGTGCTGGGAGATTACAGCTGGGATGCACTGGGGAGCTCTGAGCCTCCTCCATGGATAAAGTGAGGGAAGCCTTGTGCCTGTGTGGGGGGCAGATGCAGCCCAAGGAGGGGCACACATTCCATTACAGAGCCCAAAATGCATCTGACAAAGGTTAATGGCTGTTCCTCAGAAGCTCCAGTGAAGGAGGAGAGAATCCATTCAGCAAGAGGCAGATGAAGATGGTGAGCACTAAACCAAAGATCTGTGGTGAAAGAGCTGAGAATTCACCCCAGTGACACCCTGCCAGCTGAAGGTGACACTGCAGCAGATTGAAATATACTCCATACCCTCTCTTTTCTGGACATACAGGAACAACAAAATCCCCTTTCCCATTTCTTCTAAACATTCAGCTTGATTCTCAGTGACTACACCCTGCTGCACTCACAGAAAGCTGCATGTACTAACAGCAGTTAACAACACTCTCCTATTACACTGAATTATACTTTTAACTTGAAAAAACCTCTAATTTGCTTGCATGAAACATCACAAGTTGTATAATCATCTGCTGCTTGTGCCTATTGAGACTAGAACGTAGAGTCTGAAATAAGATAGATAATGATCATTTTCATCCTGCAGTAGTTGTCATATTAAATATAAATGAAGTGCAGAAGTACTATTAAATACAAGAAAGACCTAATGTTAAAATAATGATAAGACTAGGACACGAGATAGGAAGAGGCAGGTAATTCAGAGTTACAAGTGATATTCAGGCTTTTTTATTTTTTGTTTTGCAGCCTACTTGCCTATCTTTTGACTTCTCTGAGAAAATACTGGGTTGTATTAATAGACAACCAAACAGATCTGGAGGACTTATGGTTTGTTACTCATTCTCTGCAAATGATTTTTAAAGGCAGCCATGTGTTCCTCTGCTATCAGTGTCAAGCACGTATAAGGCTTGCAAAGAAAAAAGAAAGCAATGATTTCTTTTGTTTCTTAAATCTGCTGCTTAGAAGTAGACTAAATTTCACTTAATTGCATATTTACATTTAAATACTCCTATTTCTCCTTTGGCAAACAAAAATCAAAATAATCTGGCTGCTCATCTGTGATACCTGCTCAGCCAGGGCCAGCTGGAGCCCTGGAACAGCCCCTGTGCCTGCAGGTCCCATCAGCAGCCTTGGCTTCATTCACAGCCACACAGGGGAGGAAACAAGCAGGAGTGCAGGATATCTTCTCAATTTCCAGGGATTTATAGGAGTAATTCTCAGTTTAGATACAGCCAGTGAAAACTGGAGTGGCATTAAGTTTACTTCCAGTTTTTCTGACAGCACAGACGTGGAGTTAGGAGAGGCAGGAGCTTTGGGATGGAGCCCCACCTCAGGGCCCCATGTGCTGATGGCCACCAAGGCTCTCCTGCTGCCTCCATTTCTCCTCTGCTGATGCTGCCAGCCACGTGAAATGATTTCTGAGAGCTGTGCTGCCCACCTGGGGCAGGGAGTGATGGATCACCCCAGAGCCAGGTGACCTCTGTCCTTCCCCTGCTCTCCTCCAGCCACCAACCCCTCAGAAGCTGAACCTCACCACAATCCCAGAGCAACTCCGTTCCCTTTCACTTAAAATATGACTTCAAACAGCTGTTTTCATAGCTGTGGGCATCAACTGAAGGAGCTGTACTGCAGGAATGTCAGAAACCTGTAAGAGTCAGTAAATATTTTCTCTCACCACATCAGGTGCCTTCTGGATCTGTGTTGCAAGTTGGAGAGATTTGTTAGCTGATGAGAGCTGCTCCCTTAAGGTCTCTGCCTCTCTCTGAGCCACCTCTGCCCTCTGAAGGAAATGAAAAGGGGTGAAAAGAGAAAGTACATTCAGTTTAACAACTGACAATTATTACAAGAACATTCATCAATTCATGCCTGACTGAATATAATTGATTTTCCTAAACACTCAACCTAATAAATGTTAGAAAAAAACATAGAATGTGATGGATTTTTATTTTAAACAGTACAAGGAAGAAATAATTGAGCGATTATGACAGTAATTTAACGCTAGGAGCAAGGAATCCCCTGCTGATACTAATGCTGCGGCCCACTGAATTTCCCAGACTGAATAAATACAAGTGGAAATGGAGTCTTTTTATTCAATTTCTTTCTATTCTCATAGACCAAGCAGATTTTATTGCAGGGCTCCTCATGGGAATAATTCTCACGGGTAAATGCTGAATTAAAAGATATTCTGACCACTCTCTCAAACACACATACAATGTTGTGGGCTGTCTTTCTGCAGTAATTATTCCCTAAAACATGAATTGTTAGATTCTTTTCTTTCAGCAGGTCTATTTATTCAACAATATTTAACCCTAAAGTGACAATTTTGCACAGCTCAGTTATCAGCTGCTGAGGATTTATGCAATAGTTGGTAAGCCTCTGACTTGGCCACTGGTCAAAATTCCCATCTAAATATTGAATAGTGATAGAAAGGAGAAAGAATGATGAGGAAAAATTGTCTGTATGAGAGTTTGGGCAGAGACAGATGGATCAGTAACTTCAGGCAATAAATAGCAGCAAAGTCCTTTTCATAACTGTCTGTAAGCTTCTGTTAGAAATGGAACAAAACCTGCTTCTTTTACAATATACACTCCTCCTGGCAAGACTGTCTCCTCTCTTTTTAAAAAATGTATTTTATTGTTATAAAACCACACTGCTTTCCTCCTTGAGTAATCACTGCTTTTTGCCTGGGCTACACCACGCAGATCATGCTGTGCTTTCAGAAAACAGCCAAAATAATTTTCTCCCTCCACTTCCAAGACCTCTCACCAATTCTACCAAAACCATCAGCTGCCACCAGAGAAGGTCACAACTTTTCTTGACCAGCTGATGGATCCCTTCCTTCATGGAATGATAAATTCCCACCGCCATTTTTGAGCCACCCAAACTTCCACAGACTCCTGGCTAATCCTTTGGAAAACCTAGGTCTAAAATCTAAATATAAATCTAAAATAGTGCATATAGAGTATACAGTAAATATAAAACCTGTAGTGAATATAAAATTATAGTGAATATAGAAGCTATAGCAAATATACAACCTATAGTAATAAAAAACATATAATGAATATAAGATCTATAGCAAATATAAAATCTATAGAAAATATGAATCCTACAATGAATTTAAGCCCTACAGCCCTGTGTGTGTGTGGTCTCTGACTTCCTCCCCAGTCAAAGCATTCTCTGCATGTTTAATCAATGAGTAAACTAACAGCAATCAAATCCTAAATGCATCATCTGTGCTATTTGCTCACAACATTGTATTAAATGATTTTGCATAGGTTCTACAGCTGTAATTAAAATGTGATTGTAAAAAGTACAGTGACATGGCTCCAATAATCAGAGCAGGGGACACAGCCTATTGTGTGCTTAGAAAACGTGGAAACAGCAGCAAAAAACGGCACAAAAAGAGGGATTTATGTGGTTTATGTGGCTGATAATATTAGGATAAATACTGAGCTAACAATACACATTGAGATAAATTATTTTCTGGTACTTTATTAGATGTGCAGCTACATATATTGATCTAATAACTGCAGAACAACTCCAGCAAAGCAGGACAAGTTACTACACTGTGGCACTTGCTCTTCCATCTACTGCTGGATAAGTAATGGGTTTTGCAGCCTTGAGCAATTCTGCTGATGGCTTCCATTCAGTGCAGCATTGTTTGGAGAATCTATTCAGCTTGCATGCAAGCAAACCACAGAGGATATTGCTAATAGGTGCTACATCTGCATATACAGTGAGCTGTCAGCTGCCCTTTCTGCACAGCCTCCCCAGCCAATTCCCAACACCTGTTGTGATCCTCAGAATAATACCAGACAAGATTTCATACCAGGCATTGTTAAAAATACATCAGCACAAACTCTGGGCAATTCTATTTGGGAAATACTGGTCAATTCCCCTCTTTTCCCCCCCCCTCTTTACAGAATGGAAGCTTTTTAGAGGCAGAATTACAGATGTGCTCAGTGTCTGGAAAGCACTTTTGGGTGCTATTGCAATATAAATTATAAATGACACACAAAACCCTGTTAAAAGAATGCTAGTTTCAAATGTGAGCACTTACAAGTTTGGAAAAGCCAAGCCTGAGGCTGGTGCTCGGATGGCACCACACAGGACCTGCTGGGGCTTTTCCAATGAGATTTTCCCAATGAGATGCCCTGCTCCATCAGCTCTGAGAGGAACATGGCTTGGTGAGTGATCTCCTCTTTGTCCTCTTGTTCCCTGTGTGATCTTCATTTGCTCTGAGCTAATCCCACTCCCCTTTTCCAATGGCATTAACCCTTTCCTCATGGGAGCTCTGCTGCACCACCACAGTGCTCCAGGACATTACGGACTGCACTGGCAAAGCCCTGGCTGGAGCTGGGTGGGTTCCTGGCACATTTCCCTGCACAGCAGCCCTGGCTGGAGGCTCCCAGCCCAGCAGGAGCTGCCCCTGCCCAGTGGCTGAGGTGCTGCTCCCCCGCCAGACCCTCTGGGTTTGCCTCTTCCACTGCCACCCCTCTCTGCTTGTCACTCTGTCCCCTTCCTAATTCATTTAGGAGCCCCATCTCTGTCCCCTCTGTGCTCCAGGGAGCCTCTAGCTCCAGGCAGGCAAACCTAAAGAACATCCACAAACTTCCAGAATGAGTCTTACCCCCACGATTTCCTCTTTCCTCTTCTCCTCGTTGCTTCTTCTCACAAAAGATCCTCCAAGTGTCCCTGTCCCGGTGTCTGTCCCCATTCCTTGCTCACCATGAGCCTCTCTCCCTGTCCTGCACCCATGCTGATGTCTCCACTCATGGCAGGGGCAGCCTGGGGAGTGTCTCCCCTCCTTGTGCCCCCACAAGATCTCACATCACACCCAGGAAAAGCAGAACCTGCCTGGTGTGCGCTCACCCAGCCAGAGCAGTGACTGCAGTGTGACTGGGACAGCAGCAAAGCCTGGACAAATTCAATCCAGATTCTGCTGAGTTTGTGAACTCTTTTTTCCAGACTCTTATAGGCTGGCCAAACTTGAGGCTGTTTTTTAATTATTATTTTTTTTATTTTTTCTACTTGAAGCAACAGAAGATACAACCCTGAGAAAAAAGGGAACCATCTCTCATCAAACCCCGTCTATTAAATCTGGGCACAGCAGGCTCCTCACCAAAACAGCAAGAAAAATTCGTAACATCTGAGAGAAAATGGATTTCTTTTTTCCTAATCTTGTTCTTAAAAATGGTTGAACAATTTTTCCTGAAGTGAGAAAAAAGAGAGCAGCCAGAGACAGGCGCCCAGTATGGAAAATGGCTAAATCTGAGGAATCTTGCACAACTTGGAGCCTCTGCAAAATTCACAAAACCTTCTGTTTGTGTGGAACTGTCCCACTTCAGCTGAGAAATACAGAGATTCCTAGAATTACAGAAAGGGTTTGGAAGGGAGTTAAAGCCCATCCCATTCCACCCCTGCCATGGCAGGGACACCTTCCACTGTCCCAGGCTGCCTTGATGAAGCTCATGCAAATCTAACATTACACAAAATCCTATTTTTCAGCATAGTTCAGTTGTCCAATTCCTCCTAATTCCTCCACCGCTGTTTTCTAGTACAGAATTACCTCCCTGGTAACAAAATGTTTCAAAATAGTTCCATTTTCCTTCATAGAGCAGGTAAATATTGTACTGCTCACAGTGGAGCCAGGAGGTCATGATTGTAACGCTGCCGTGTGCTTTCCAATTAAAAATAGAAAAAAAAAAGCCTTACACAATATATCCAGTTTAAATTATTCTCCTTGTTTCCTGACAAGATAATGAATAGCATGAACTGAGTGCTCTTCTACTTACAGTAAAATGTTAATTTGATCAAAGACCAGTGGTGTGAACAGCAAAATGAGATACTAATGTGAAAAAAAATGTATAACCTTTCCCTTAAAGTTCCACCAGCCCAACTCTATCTCCTTATTCCATGCTAAATTCAGTGCTGTATGTGGGAAAATCTTCCTATGGGCGAGGAGGGGGTATTATCACAAGTAATTCTGCTGCAGTTAATGAGCCTGGTTATGGCAGCAATCACCACGCTTGGAGCTGACATTCAGACTTGCAAGCTGCTGCAAAAGCTGTGTTTCTTGGAGTACAACATCAATTAAAACACACTGCTTCAATGTGTTTTAATTTCCTAACTTTTCAGATATAAAAAATTTGCTTTAAAACCTTGAGATGGCCCTAACTTGCACAGAACAGCAGCAAGGTTAGCAGAACATCAGGGACATGAAAGATTTTTCAGGGCTCTGGCACCTATTTTTTCCAACAATGGAGAAATACACAAAAAAAGAGAAAAAACTCCACCAACCAGAAGAGGCTGGGCTGTCTTCATTCTTGTCTTCAGGCTATTGCACTTTCCTCTGTGTGCTGAAAGGCTGCCAGATAAATGTATTCCCAACTGATAGCCAGGCATTTGCAGGAAGCCCATGTTTGCATGAAAATAATATTAACCATATTTTGCCTTTATATAGAACTTCTCCGTGCAAGGATTTCAAATGCCCTTTGCAGAGGAAATGTTTTTATTCCCATTTTACAGACAGTGAAATCCCAGGATTAAGTGAATGCCTTCATCTGCCATGAAGCAGTGTAACTTAACTGGAACCATGGATGTGGGCTGGGAGGGACCTTAAAATTCATCTCATTCCCTTCCTGCCAGGGCAGGGACACCTTCACTACACCAGGGTGCTCCAAGCCCTGTCCAGCCTGGACTGGGGCACTTCCAGACATGGGGGCACTTCCAAGGATGGAGGAATTCCAGGGATGGGGCAATTCCCAAGGGGATGGCACT